CCTCTGGCTGGCTGCTCCCTCCCCCTGGGTGGCCACAGACCTGATATTGCAGGGTCTCCCCCAGCGGGCGGGCCTCACACAGGCATCAGGGTTGCCATTTAAGCAGTGTTATTGTGGTAACAGTGGCCAGATTTTTACATAAGAGGTGGGCCTCCCTTTTCACAGTTTCTTGGGGGTGTTTTTGGTGGTGGTGGTTTACTTGTTTTTAAAATTTAAAAAAAGGATGTTATAAATTGGAATCAGAATAACTTGAATGAACTCCCACACTGGGCAGTGCAACATGGGAGAAGAGAAGCCACCGGACCAAACAGAGCTGTCTCTTCTCCTTTGTGGAGGAGATGGGGTCTAGGTCTGGGAAAGCGAAAGAGTGAGAAATAAACTGAATACAAGAAAGTGGGCGTTGAAAGGGCATGGGAAGAAAGGGAACCACAACCTTTTATTTTAAACCTTAAGGTCTAGCCCTGGCTGGTTTGGCTCAGTGGATAGAGCATTGGCCTGTGGGATAAAGGGTCCCGGGTTCAATTCCGGCCAAGGGCACCTGCCTGGGTTGTGGGCTCGATCCCCAGTGGGGGCCATGCAGGAGGCAGATGATCAATGATTCTCATCATTGATGTTTTTATCTCTCTGTCCCTCTCCCTTTCTCTCTGAAATCAATAAAATATATTTTAAAAAAAGAAAGAGTATCTTTAAAAAAAGGAAAAAAAAGAAAGAAAACTGTAGAAAGTTAGTAACTGCCACAAGCAAACGCCAGGTGGTGGCCAGTGCCAATTTTCAGAGCCCTGCTTCGCGGGGTGTCTGCTCACACTCGCGGAATCAATCGCCGCAGGCTTTAGTCCACAGGTCGCTTTCCCCCATATTTCTTTGTAAACTCCAGCATTCTCACAGAAGCTTGTACGGTCCTTGGAGTATTCTTCAGCTAGGTCAGCCCGAAGCAGGTGCTCAGGCTGGGTGGGTTGTTCAGTGCTATGAGAGACTGGATTACTTACTTGGTCAGTTTTGGTTGCTGGCTTCCTATTTTCAGCACTAATTCCTGGCAGACAGACCTGCCCCTTTTCATTGGTGCTGGGGTGATAGATCTTTGTTTTAAATGTGGTCTTCGGTGGTTTGAATGGGTATTCTGCTGGGAAGTTGATTTCCATTCTGCAGGCCCCCTAATCCGATGGAGGTTTTCAGGGACAATAAGCCTTTGCCAAGTCAACAAATTAGCTTCATCAACCTGGATGTTACGGAGGTTTTCATTCCAAATTTTCAGGTTTTTTAAAGCTCCTTCATCAGCCTCCTGCTGGCCGCCATCTTGGATCTGGTCTGTGTGTAAGTTTTTATGTTTTCATTTATTTTGAGTATATACCTAAGAGTGGAATTGTTGGGTCATGTGGTTATGCCCATATGATTAAAAACATTTAGTATTTTGAGGAGCTGCCAACTTCTTCTCCAAAGTGGCTGCACCATTACATGTTTCAGTTCACAGCGTATAAGGTGTTTTTTTTTTAATTTAAATGTATTTATTGAAAGCTCCACCATGATCAATAGAGTGCCAGTGCCACCTTCATAAATAAAAGGAAGCTGATGAACGTATCCCTTTAAAAGTCTGGGAACTTTGTCCACCTGCCCTGAGCCCAAGGCCTGCTCCCTAGAAGCAGGGAAATCAGCACGTGTCCCAGAGGCATGCGACCATCCTGGCACCACCTGAGACTGTCTTCCTGGCACAAAAGGACTGGAAGAGAATGGAAAGGGAGCCCCTGTTTTACTCTTTGTGCTAAATGCAGGCCCGATACTACCTACAAACATCTCAAGAGAATGAGGGTATCCACCTGATATTTGGGGAATGCTGGACTGGAGACTCCCTCTGCATCATGCTCAACACAATGTGGGAACAGCGTTCTCTGAGCACACCTTCCAGGCACTACTGGCGTCCCCTCCCCACGCGCCTGCTCACACCGAGGCCTAGCAACTCCCTCTCCCCTCTGCCTGCCCCCCAAACACACATCAGAGATCACTGCTGACTCAGGCAGATGAGCCCACCAGGGGAGTCCACGCCACTGAGCAGCATGAGCAGGAAGAGGGGCAGGAGGGGTCACGGCTCTGTGGCGTGGTTGCCGAGATGCCACTGGGGAAAGCCCATGTCCACCAGTTGCTGGTTGAGGTCACTAAAGGGGGACTAAGCAGCACCCAGTCTGGCCCCGCCCCCGCCCAGCTTCGAAAGGCCAGGACCCCCAGGGGCACAGTGGCCCCAGTTGAGAATGCTCAGTTGAGAGATGCTACCTTGTGGCAGAGTAGAGGTCCTCATGCGGGGGTCATTGTCCTGCTTGATTTCCCCATTGGCCAAGATCCGCACCGTCCTCCCAGGGGCTCTGCCTCCCTTCCCTCCGACCACAGAAAGCCTGCAGGGGCGGCTCCTGGGCCTCTCAGCTCCCAGGCCACTTCCTAAACATGGTGTCTTGAATGCCCATTAGAATAGTTGAGGACCAATGATGGTTAAACTGGATTCCCAAATATGTAAACCAGACAGAAGTGCCTTGGCTCTGATGGATGTGGGGGTATGTGCCAGTTAATTCCAGCAACAAACAGAATCCGGCTCTGGAGCAGTGCTGTCCAATAGAACCTTCAGTAATGATTGCAATTTTCATATCTGCAGTTAAATTCTCTCAGTAGTCTGGATTATAGCCATGGGCCGAATTAGATTGATAGAAGCCTACATAGACCGCTGTGGAGGAGTACAAGATCTGGACTAGGACCTGGTTTTTTTATTTTATATATATATTTTTTATTTTGAGAATATGTTCATTAAAGCCAGGAATAGTGCAACAAGGAAGGGCTTAGGGTAGAAGGAGCAGCAGGAGAGAGAAGGCAGGGCTGCTTTGGCCTTAGAAACGCCATGGGAAAGAAGCGAGTCAACGTGGCTGCTGCCAGCTCAGTGGAGAGTCAGAGAAAAGGGGGCCTTGGGGCCAGGGCCAGGGGCTTGGCCTGGGAGGAGCTGCCCCTGCCCATTGCTCCCCTGGTTGCAAGTCTCGTGGGGACCCTCAGAGTTTAGGAGATGCAGGCCTATGGAGGAAGAAGGGGAGGGAGAGGCGCAGGCACGCTCCCAGGAGCGCACACTGGGACCTGGCTTGGAATCCTGATTCTACCTCCTACCAGCGGGTGGTCTTAGGTAAGTCATGGATGTCTAGGAGCCACCACGGCTCGCTGTGTAATTGGAGTAGCACCCGCATCAGCGCTGGTTCTCTTGTCTTAATCAACACTCACTCTTGTGAACCCCTCCAGACGCATGGCTCTAAACACCGGCCCCCAAATTTACATTTCGAAATCTCCACTTGAGTGTCTAATAGGCATCTCAAATTTAGCATGTCCCCCGATGAACTCTTTATCTTCTCCCCAAACCCGCTCCACCCCAGCCTTCCCTTATTAGAAAACAACCGTTCTTTTCTGACAGTTGATCAGACCAAAGACATTGGTGTTGTCTTTTAATCTCTCTCTCCCATATGTTAAAAAACACTGTTGGTTCTACCTCGAAAGTATTCGGCAACCGACCACTTCTCTCCACATCGCCTATCATCCTGATTCAGACCCCATCATCTCTCACCAGGTCCCCTGCAGGAGCCTCCTCACTGGCCTCTCTGCCCCCACCTTCGTCCCCACAACCTGTCTCACCCGTCGCATCCAGAAGGGACCTTTTCAAAGGCAAAGCCCTGCAACAGCTCTCCATGGCCTCAGAGCAAAAGTCCTCAGGATCACCTCCATGAGCCTGGCTCTGTTTCCTCTGTGGCCTCCCTTTCCCGTCTTCTCCGTCCTGTGCCCTGTTCCAGCCCCACCGGCCCCCTTGGGGGTTTCTAGAACATGCCAGGCATGGTCCCATTTTGGGCCTCTGACTTGGCTTTGTCCTCCGGTGTAATTCCCTTCCCCAGGGATTTCGTGGTTGGCTCCCTCACTTGCTCAGGTTTCTGCGTTACGTTCCTCCATCATACTTAACATTACATATTTGTGCAGACTCTCCGTCTCCTTTCCAGAGACAGTCACCTGCAGGAGGACAGATGACTGGCATTTTCTTTGCTTCATTACTGTCTCATATGCCTGACAAGTAGTGTTCAACAAAATCTGTGGAATAAATGAACTAATTCAATAATGCTGTGAGGTAAATCTGTTATTCTCATTTTATTTCACTTTTTAAAATATTTTTATAGAGAGAAGAAGGGAGAGAGAAAGAGAGAGGAGGGGGAAGAGAGAGAGAGAGAGAGAGAGAGAGAGAGAGAGAGAGAGGAACATGGATGTGAGAGTGGTACATTGATTGGCTACCTCCTGCATGCCTCCCACCAGGGATTGACCTGGAAACCCAGGCACATGCCTTGACCGGGAATTGAACTGGCAACCTTTTGGTGCACTGGATGATGCTTACCCAACTGAACCACTCAGGTCAGGAAAACGGAGACTCAGAAAGGTGCCCAAGTGCACACAGTTGAGGACTGGTAGAGTCACCTTCAGGCTAGCCAGTCAGACTCCAAAACCCAGGCTCTTGCTCATGACTGATGCATTGCCCATTGGCCATTACATACATGACATCAACCCGTGTAAAGTCTGTTCTTACATAAAAATCAATTTTAGAAGTGAGTGCCAAGAAAACACTGACTCCTTTTTGACTAAGACAACTCATCATGCAAATTGTTCCTTTTGGGGTTAACCCAGGAAGCTCAGCCAAATGTGAAGCTGGTCACTCTATTAGCCCTTTCTTCCACTTGATTTTTTTCTCTCATTTTTATTAACCTTATCATCTACATTCTTTTTTTAAATTAATCTTTATTGTTGAGATTATTACAGATGTCTCTCCTTTTTCCTCCCATAGCTCCCCTCCACCGGGTTCCCACCCCACTCCTACCCGCTGACGGGGCCACTCGCACCCGCTGATGGCGCGGAGCAATTGGGGCCGGCACCAGCAGCGGGTGTGAGCAGGGCCGTGGCCATTGGTGAGTGTGAGTGGCGGCTGCTGTCCTGATCACCCCTCAGGAGCAGGGGTAGGTGGAGAAGCCCTTGGGGCGATCGGGCAGGCAGCCGCCACTCACACCTGCTGACGGCGCCGAGCAAGGGAACCGGCTCCAGGCATTGGCAATGGGTGTGAGTGGCAGCTCTGGTGCAGCCGCGGGTGCAAACAGGGCCGGCACCAGCAGCAGGTGCGAGAGCCAGGCGGGACCGCAGTGTGTGGGAGCAAAAAATTTTCAGTAACCACCAGAGGCTCCTCCCAATGACAGCAACTGGTGCCCCACCTTGGTCTGGCACCCCTGCTCACCTTTTCCACTATCCCACCACGGTCGACGCCCACCATGTTCTGCACACGCCCCCTGGTGGTCAGTGCACATCATAGCAACTGGTTGTTCAGTTGTTCCACTATTTGGTCTATTTGCATATTAGCGTTTTATATATATAGATAAGCTTATGCCCCGATCAAAACAATTGAGAAGAAAGGTGGGTTTGAATGAGTCTCCTGTGTGTGACCCCATGCACTTGGTGTTCTAGGTCTAGGAGCAGTGGGGGGCAGGGAGGGGAACCAGAGGGAAATAGTTTTCAGCATGGCATTTGTTAGAATGCCTCTCTTGGATTGGTCCAGAGCCAGTGGTGTGGGCGACTTCTTTGAGAAGCACAGCAATTCAAATTTTATAGTAAGGAATCTGGAGCTCAGATGTGCCACTCCTCTTTCTAGGAGGCTCCAGTCTAGAGGTTTACTCCCAAGTATGACTTTAGATGGCTTTTATCCACAGGCGTGGCAGCTAGAGAGATGGCCCAAGCTCTGAAGACACTGGCCCAGGCTGCCCACGGAGTGGCTGCATCAACGAGTGACCCCGCAGCTGCGCACGCCATGTTAGATTCTGCTCAAGATGTGATGGAGGGCTCGGCCATGCTCATCCAAGAAGCCAAGCAGGCCCTGATTGCTCCTGGAGATGCAGAGAGTCAGCAGAGGCCGGCCCAGGTGAGGCCCGGGATGGTGGTCATCACTAAAGTGGAGTTGTTAGCAGGCTCCCGCCTGGGCGTTCTTCTGGTGTGAACACTTACTCAGTGGGTGTTTTCAGGGCCTTCCAAAGTGCCATAACAATGCTGCCCTTACCTACATAATACTTACTTTTGGAAAAAAATAGTATTTTTTTTTATTGATTTCAGAAAGAGAAAGGGAGAGGGAGAGAGAGAGAGATAGATAGAAATATCAGAGATGAGACCACGCAGAAGGAGCTACAGAGAGATCTGCAGATTCCTCCTCTTTGTATCAGGTTTGGAAGTGCCCAGACGAGGCCCAACTGTGAAGCAAGGCAGGCTGGTGCTGGTGCCGGTGCCGGTTTTGGGGGCCTTTTATTGATAGGTCTGCAGCTCCCTGACCCAGCTGCAGCTTGTTTGACAGAGTTTTCACCTGAGAAAGGACAGACCATTCTATGCAAAAGCCGCTGTGCCCAGCTTGGGTGGGGCTGTAAATTGGGTGGGGCGGGGTCTCAGGGAATCACCAGGGCAGAGCAAACAGAAATGGCTGCCCGTCATCCCTGCACAGAGGAGGTCCCAGCATGGGAACAATGACCAAATTTTAAAATTGATTTGAGAGAGAGAGAGAGAGAGAGAGAGAGAAACATCAATTTTTTGTTCCACTTATTCATGCATTCATTGGTCGATTGGCCTATCAGGACGATGCTCTAACCAACTGAGCTACCCCGCCGGGGCTGTTCTTTGCTCATTTTCTAATTGAGATATAATTGACATGTAATATTATATTAGTTTCAATTGTACAGCATAATGATTTGATATTTGTATATATTGTGAAATGATCACCACATAAATCTAGTTAACATCCATTGCCACACAGTTACGATTTTTTTTTTTTTTTTTTTTGTGATGAGAAATTTTAGGATCTACTCTCTTAGCAACTTCCAAATAAATATACAATACAGCATTGTTAACGATAGTCAGTGTGCTGTACATTACATCACCAGGACTGGTTTATTTTATAACTAGAAGTTTGTACCCTTTGACCCCCTCCCCCCATTTTGTCCAGCCCACCTTTGGCAACCACCAATCTGTATCTGAGTTTGGTTTTCGTTTTGTCTGCTTTTTAGATTCCACATCTAAGTGAGATCAGGCAGTATTTGTCTCTCTCTGTCTGACATATATCACTTAGCATAATGCCCTCCAGATCCATCCATGTTGTTGTAATGACAAGATTGCCTTCCTCTATTTGGCCAAATAATATTCATTGTATACATGTGCACCATATTTTCTTTATTCGTTGATCTATTGATGGACACCTGTGTTGCTTTCAGATCTTGCCTATTGGAAATAATGCTGCAATAAACGTAGGGTACAGATATATTTTTGAATTAGTGTTTTCCGTTCCTTTAGATAAATACCCAGAAGTTGAATTGCTGAGTCAGATGGTAGTTTTTAGCTTTTTGAGGAACCTCCTTGCTGCTTTTCATAAAGGCTGCACCAATTTACATTCCCACCAACAGTGCACAGGGTTTCATTTTCTTCACATCCTCTCCAGCACTTGGTATTTCTCGTCCTTTTGACAATAGCCATTCCAATGCATGGGAGGTGATACCTGATGATGGTTTCGAGTTGTATTTCCCTGATGATTACTGATATTGAGCACTTTTTTCATGTATCTGTTCACTATCGGTATGTCTTTTTCAGAAAAATATCTATTCAGATCCTGTGCCCATTTTAAAATTGTTTGTTTCTTTGTTATTAAGTTGTATGAGTTGTTTATATATTTTGGATATTAACCCCTTATCAGATATATGATTGAATTTTTTTTCTTGCATTTTTAGGCTGCTTTTTCGTTTTGATTGCTTCCTTTGCCGTGAAGAAGCTTTTTAGTTTGTTGTAGTTCCATTTGTTTATTTTTGCTTTTGTTGCCTTTGCTTTCTTTTTATTATTGTTGTTGTTAATCCTCACTCAATGATATTTTTTCCCCCTGATTTCTAGAGAGAGTAGAAGGGAGGGAGGAGGAGGGGGGGAAGGAAAGAGAGAGAGAGAGAGACAGAGAGAGACAGAGAGAGAGAGAGAAAGAGAGAGAAAGATCACTTGAGAGAGACATATTGATTGGTTGTCTTCCGCAACCAACTGGAGCTGGCGAACCTGCAACTGAGGTACATGTCCTTCACCCCCTTGACTGGGAATCGAACCCAAGACCCTTCCATCCGTGGGCCGACCCTCTAACCACAGAGCCAAACTGGCCAGGGTTGTTGCCTTTGCTTTTGGTGCTAAATCTGAAAACCACCAAGACTGATGCCAAGGAGCTTACCCCTACGTTTTCTTCTAAGATTTTTATATTTAAGTATTTTATCCATATTGAGTTGGTTTTTGTATATGGTGTAAGACAGGGGTCTGTTTTCATTCTTTTTTTATGCAAGTCTTTAGTTTTCCCAGAACAATTCATTGAAAAGACTATCCTTTACCCATTTGTATATTCTGGCTTCTTTGTCATAAGTTAATAGACTGTTTATGTGTGTGTTTACTTCTAGGCTCTCTCTTCTGTTCCATTGTTTTAGTGTCTGACTGTATGTCTATACTATACTGTTTTGATTACTACAGCTTTGTAATATAGTTTAAAATCAGGACGCATGATGCCTTCATCTTGGTTCTTATGGAAGATTATTTTGACTACTTGGGATCTTTTATGCCACCATATGCTTTTAGGATTGCTTGTTCTATTTCTGTGAAAAATACCATTGGTTTTAAAAAAAAAAATCCTCACCCAATGATATATTTTTAAATTTATTTCAGAGAGAGAGCAAGGGTTAGTGAGTCAAATGCTCATCTATTGAGCTGGAATCCAGTCGGTGATGGCAGGCACAATGGATCTATCAAGAAATAACAGCCTTGGCTGGGTGGCTCAGTGGTCGGAGCATCATCCTGTACACCAAAGGGTTGCAGGTTTGATTCCCCAGTCATGGCACATACCTAGGTTGCAGGTTTGATCCCTGGTAGTGTCCAGGAGGCAACCGATCTCTCTCTCTCTCTCTCTCTCTCTCTCTCTCTCTCTCTCTCTCTCTCAACACTAATAAGCATATCCTTGGGTGAGGATTTAAAAAAAAGAAAAGAGCCCTAACCGGGTTGGCTCAGTGGATAGAGCGTCGGCCTGCAGACTGAAGGGTCCCAGGTTCGATTCCAGTCAAGGGCATGTACCTTGGTTGCGGGCACATCCCCAGTAGGGGGTGTGCAGGAGGCAGCTGATCAGTGTTTCTTTCTCATAGATGTTTCTAACTCTCTATTCCTCTCCCTTCCTCTCTGTCAAAAATCAATAAAATATTTAAAAAAAAAAAAAGAAAAAGAAAAGAAAAGAAATAGCAGAACAAGCATATTCTGCTTTAAGTATATGGATCCTCCAGGAGAACTGAGACTAGAATAGGTCAAAAGGATTTTAAAACGCGGTTTCTTTCCAGGACCACAGCTTGGAAGGGAAGAGGGAAGAGTATTGCCATTCATGAGAAACCCTTTGTGCTTATAATATGCGTTACTTTGACAAAAATTAAGAAATCAAGTACATTCGCCTTGCCATCCTCTCTCTGGAGAGGGCGGTGGATGGGAGGAAAGGGCCCCAGGCTTTGAAACAAACGCAAACCCTGTAGCCCTGGGTCGACCTGGAGGCTCAGGGCGGCGGCTCAGGAAAATGTTAAAAGATATTAGATGGTCAGTTTGTTATTAAAAGAAAGAACTCAGCAACAGCCCGCCGTGAGAGATTCGCAGGGCAGGGCACGGAACGGTGCAGAGCGTCCCCCTCTCCCAGCGCGCCGCTCTCCCCAAATCGCCAGTGTCACCGACGCAGAAGCTCCTGCTCTGCCGTTAACATTTGTCTATGTTCTCTCCGTTGCTATTATTTGTGTTGTTGTTATTATTATTTTGTGGAACGATTTAAGAGGAAGTTGCTGCTTGGTGCACCTTCACGCCTACATACTTCAAATACATATTTCCTGTGAACTAGGACATTCTTTTTCATAACCGCAACATACTTGTTAAGTTAAGGAACGTTGATGCTAAGTCAATACTATTGTCTACTTTAAGCCCGTGTTTGAATTTTGCCATTATCCCCGGGGCGTCCTTTGCGTTCTACCCCTCCCCCATCCCAGATCTGCTTCGGAATCCCACATGCATTTAGTTGTCACACATCTCTCCTCTTCTAAGGCCTGGGAGAAGGTCTCAGGCTTTCTTAGTCCTTCCTGACACTGACCATTTTGAAGAGTAGAGGGCAATTATTTTCTAAAATAACCCTTAATTTGGATTGGCGTGATATTTCTTTTAAATTTATTTATTGATTGATTTTGAGAGAGAGAGAGAGAGAGAGAGAGAGAGAAAGAGAGAGAGAGGGAGAGAGAGAGAGAGAAATTGTTTTGTTGTTCCACTTGGCTATGCATTCATTGGTTGATCCTTGTATGTGCCCTGACCCTTGGTGTATCAGGATGGCATTCTTTCTTTAAAAAAAAAATACATTTTTATTGATTTCAGACAGGAAGGGAGAGGGAGAGAGAGATAGAAACATCAGTGATGAGAGAGAATCATTGACTGGCTGCCTTCTGCACACCCCCATTGGGGATCGAGCCTGCAACCTGGGCACATGCCCCTGACCAGAACCAAACCTGGGACCCTTCAGGCCACAGGCCGATGCTCTAACCACCCAGGGCAGGATGACATTCTTAACCAACTGAGCCGGCCAGGGCAGCTTGATATTTCTTTACAATTAGACTGAAGTTATGTGTTTTTTGCTGGGGCTACCACAGAGGTGGCACTGTGCCCCTCCTAGCCCTCATATCTGGAGCCAGCACATGTCGGCTTGCCTCATTACTGGTGATGTTAACTTTGATCCCTTGGTTAAGATTTCTCCACCTAAAGTTGCATACTCTTCCTCGGTATGGACACATATCTTGTGAGGGATACTGTAAGACTAAAACTACCCTATCCTGGTATGCAACACCCCTTGCCGCCCCAATTTCCCCCCCTGGTTTTAACACCCGTCCTTACCTGAATCAGTTATCACGGTGGCTGTAACTTGGTCATTTTAAACTCTATATTCCTTCTTTAATGATGAGTTGGCTCTCTTAGTGCAAAAGAACTCCCCTACTCGCCTTCCTCCCTTCGGCTCCCCCTCGTCCTTCGCTCTGCATCGCTAATATTTCCAGAATTGGCATGAGCTCGTGGGTCCTTCCTTCATTCAGTGAGCACCGCCCTTACTCATCTTGATGCATCACTGTCCCTGCTTTGCCAGAGGGAACTCCCTCAGCTGGTTCCGTGTCCTTCCCACAGGTTACCGTCATCCTGCGAGTGCCTCCTGCTTTCTAAGCACAGGATGTTCCAGGCGCACCTGGTGCTTTGCCTGCCCCGCGTTGGAATCAGCCACTGCCCAGGAGCCCTGGCCCCTTTGAAGGAGACGGGTATCCAGAAGCCAAGATCCGGTGTCAGGCGCTGGCCCTGTTTTGATGGTAGAAAAAACAGAATTTACAGAAGGATTGAATGAAGGTATAAGAGGAGAAGGGTCCCTATTCCCTTTAGCTTTTTACTTTTTTATTATTTTTTTTAATATATAGATTTTTTATTGATTTCTTACAGAGAGGAAGGGAGAGGGATAGAGAGTTAGAAACATCAATGAGAGAGAAACATCGATCAGCTGCCTCCTGCACACTCCCTACTGGGGATGTGCCCGCAACCAAGGTACATGCCCCTGACCAGAATCGAACCCGGGACCCTTGAGTCCCCAGGCCAACGCTATATCCATTGAGCAAAACCAGCCAGGGCCCCTTTAGCTTTTTAGACATTGCTTCCCTGAAGTCTTCCTAGACACTCCCTAAGGCTGAATCTAGCCTCTATTTTAGCAAGCTTTCTATCATGTGAACTTTATACACAGCATGTCTCTAAGCGCAGCATGGTACCTGTCAGACTCTGGCGCTGCCCTGGAGATTCTCACTCTTGGCCTTGGGCCCTTCAACAGACCTGGTTTTGAAGCTCATCTCTAGTACTTGTTGGTTGTCTGAACCTGGACAAGTCTCTTAACTGGTTTCTCAGTTTCTTCATCTGCAAAGTTAGGGTAATAATATGTACCTCATAAATGCTATGTGAATGTAAAGTGCTTGGCATTGAGCCCGGCCCATTCTAGCTGCCTAAGGGAGCTTACTTAACCTCCCCCACCTTGTTTCCTCACCTGTGAAATGGGCTTGCACCCAGCTGATGTGGCTCAGCGGTTGAGTGCCAACGCAGGAACCAAGAGGTCACCATTTGATTCCCAGTCCGGGCACATGCCCGGGTTGTGGGCTCCATCCCCACTGGGGGGCATGCAGGAGGCAGCCAATCGATGATGTTTCTCCCATCGATGTTGCTATCTCTCTATCACTCTCCCTTCTTCTATCTCTAAAATAACCTATAAATATATATATACACACACATACATACACATTATATGTGTGTGTATGTATATATGTGAATATATACATATATACACATATATACTAGTGTGTGTGTGTGTGTGTGTGTGTGTATATTTTTTTTAAAGGGCTTGCTGTGAGGAACGGCTGGAATCCTGCATAGAGATTTGTACCTGAAAAACTTGCGACTACCAGAATTTTCTAAGAGTATTTATAAAGCCTTGCCCTTTTGTGACGTCCTGGGGCCACCGCCCGGTTCATATTCCATCCCCTCTCTCTGCACCCTGGGGTCCGCAGGCTGTGCTGCCAGGTCTCGTTCCCTGAGTGCTTCAGGCTGGACGCATCTACATCGTCTCAGGCTTCCCCGGAACTGGGGCCCCACATGGAGCCTGGGGAACATACACTTTTGTCAGCAGCAATTGGGTTGGAATGACAATTTTGCCAAAAATGAATTTTGCATCCTGGCTGGTTTTTCTCAGTGGTTAGAGCGTTGGCCCTCAGACTGAAGGGTCATGGGTTTGATTCCCGGGGAAGGGCATGAACCCTGGTTGGAGGTTCCCCGGCCCTGGTAGAGGCGCGTGCTGGAGGCAGTCAATCGATGTGTCTCTCTCACATCCATGTTTCTCTCTCTTTCTCCCCCCACTCCTCCCTGCCTCCCTCTCTCTGGAAATCAATGGGGAAAATATCTTGGGGTGAAGATTAAAAATAGATAGATAGATAAATTTTGCTTTAGTGATTTTTTTTTAAAGATTGGAAAATTTGGGAATCTTTGTGCAGTCTTCCAAACATCTTTATTTTTTTAGAGTTAAAAACATTTTTTCAACATCATATTACTTTGCAGCCAATTATTTCTACTTTTCTGTTTGCAGTAGCAAAATGTTGCAGCAACCTAAAGGTCCAACAATGGAATGGTTTCCTTCTTTCCTTTCTCCCTCCCTTCTTACCTTCCTTCTTTCCTTCCTCCCTTTCTCCCTCCTCTCCCCTCCCCTGTTTCCCTCCCTTCCTCTCTCCTTCTTTCATTAGTTCAGTAAAAAAAGAAAAGTACAGAACAGTGTATGTAATGAAATCCTCCTATATAATAAAAGCCTAATATGCAAATTGTTCGACTGGGAGTTCAACTGCTTGCTATGACGTGTGCTGACCACCAGGGGATGGTGCGGAACATGACGGGTGTCGTCGATGTGGTGCTGGCAGCCAGCAACAGTGAAGGCGCTGCTGACTCTGATGGGCCCCGATGATGGGAGCACTACTGTGGTGGGATGGTGGAGCAGGTGAGCGGGTGGCACCAGGCCAAGGTGGGTGCGAGTGGGGGGCCCGATTGCCCCACCAATCGCCCCACAGACAGCGACCAGCAGTGGCGGTGGGGGAGGGGTTGCCACCTGGCTCCCAGGTACTGAGGTAGAGAGCAGGGGGCCCAGTCCTGACCGATCGTCCTGCAGTCAGGGTGGTGGAGCAGGTGAGGGGATGGTGCCAGGCCACGGCAGGGTGCCAGATGGGGCTGTGGGGCTGTGAGGCTGGGGGCATGAGCTGGGGCCCGATCCCCGCAGGCCACCCTGAGGGACCCCACCCATGAATGAATTTGGGCACCAAGCCTCTAGTCTAAAATAATGAAACTAAAGGCCTGGTGCATGAAAATTCAGCTCAGCCTGCCCCCACTCACAGTCCAGGAGCCCTCAGGGGTGGGAGGCGACCCGGTGATCAGGGGAAGGCGAAGCTCCGTCACACCTCTGCTGCTGCCACTGCCGGCAGCGCAAGCCTCGGCCGGCTCTGGTTACCTGAGCCTCGGGTGGCCCTGGGTGGCTGGAGGGCTGAGGGGACTGGGCACCGCCATCTTGTGGCTGTGGGCGCTGCCATTTTTGAGGGCAGGGCAGTCAATTAGCACCTTCCCTCCTTATTGGCTGTAGGCCGCCATCTTTGCGACGGTGTGAGGGTCAATTAGCATATCCCCTCTTTATTAGCTAGGATACTGAATGCGTAAAGGCTTTGTTAGGAATGTTACCTGCTGGTGGTAAATGGAGCCTTCCCAGTTTGCGCTCTCCTGGCTGTTGGAGAGGCATCCCACCCGCTGTGGCCCTGAGCTTCCCGCAGCGCTGGCTGGTGTGTGGCAGGCAAAGTCCTGGCCACCCCATAGCAGGCCGCTTCTCAGGTTTGTGTTTGCAGTGAGTAACTCTAAGGGGCAAAGTAATGTCTCCTGTAAGGACGAGAGCAGACTTCCTTACTGCCTGCTTGAAAAGAGAATTCCTCAGCTGTGGGGCAAGCCCCTCCTGTCCCCGCTGCGGGCCTTGGGGGCGAGGGGAGCTGGTTACCACATAATGCCTGCTGCTTGCTGTGCGGCGACTACTGAGCTCCTGTGCCTCTGACCCAGGCGTCTCGGTCTTGGCGTCAGACTCGCTCGTTAGTGAGCCTGTGAGTGGGGCAGGACCCAGGCCTGACACTGGCCTGTTTCACCTATATGTACATCTATTGCTTTTACAGTTTTTATGTTTTTAGAAAGAAGGCAAGAAACAAAACCATACATATAGCAAAAGTCAGAGCTTACAAATTAGGGGAAAATCAGAAAACAGCAGCCATCCAAAGAAGAAAATAACGAGCCCTCCTCGTACCTGTCCTCAGAGACTTGGTTGGCACCTCAGCAGATCTCCCCAGACTGCTCTTTCCACGGGGAGTGCCACGTGTGTGCTAGGCCTCTACCAGAATCAGGCCATGGCCTGTGCAGTGCTTGCAGCTGCCTTGACTTAGCTACGCAGCCGCACGGGGCCACTGTGGCGGCCCTCCGGCTTCTGGAGAAGCAGTCGGGGGCTCACCAGGGATCCGTGCAGCCTGCAAAGGCTTTCTTTGCCCCCAGCACAGTCAGGGGCTTCCTCTTGCCTCTGGTACTTCCTGGATTCTGGCCTAACAGCTTGGGGACCACAAATGCAAAGGAAACCACCCTCCCCTCCCATTTCCTCCCCTGCACCCCCTAGTTCTTAAGTGCAGGTTCCCATCACCCCGGGTCTGACCCCCTTCCTTATCCCAGCTTAACCCCTTGCTGTCCCATTTCCCGCCCATTTCCCTGCTAAGACGGAGGACTCCCGACCCCAGATTCCCCGTCCCACCCCAGCTCAGACCCCAGAGCCCCTGCACCACCTCAGACTCCGGAAAGAGTAAGTGATGCCGCTCTGGTCACAAGGCAGCAGTGGGAGCAGGGTGGGTGGGGCAGGATGCTGGGGTGGGGTGGGGTGGGTGGAGCCAGGGCCACTTCCTTTCCCCTTGGGGCCCCTGTCCGCCCAGTCCTACCCCAGCTTCAGGAGGAGTTGGAACAGCGTGGCCCCAGGCCTGGGCCTTTATCACGTGAGCTGGTAAGGCGGTGGGACTCGGTGGGGCGGGGGTCTCATCAGACCTGGGAATGCGCCTATGGCTCGGAAAGACCCTGACAAATGGAGGGAAAAGAGGATCAGGAGCCACTGGGGCTGAAGAAGGTCAGGGAAGGCCGGGAGGGGTGGCCGTTGCTGGTTGCAAGCTGCTATGGCCTGAGGGGGCCTAGGGGATAGAGTTGATGGAGGAGCTTCCAGCATCTGTTCCCTTGTTGTTTCTGATAATAGTAAAAGAAAGGGTGGAAAAAGCCGTTAAACCTCAGGTTAGGCCTGGCAGTTGGCAGGGAAGTCGGCAGGAGGAAGAGCCTGGCCAGGTCCTACCACCAGCCTCTTATGTGTTCCATTTCTCCACCCTCAGGTCCCAACTCCTGCTCATGTCTGTTGTCATGGAAATGACCCTGCTTCTCCTCTTCTTTGGGGGTTTGTGGGCCCAGGAGGTGGACACAGAGTCTCCGGGGATGTCTACACCCAGACAGCCCTCTTCTTCTTTGGTCTCAAACATCTCTGAGGCCTCAAACCTTGACTCAGTGGCCTCCGATCAGGCAATAACAAGGGTCCCTGAGGAAAATGGCGGTACTGGGCACCAGGTCTCCCTGCCTTCCTCAGCTCCACATGAGGTGTCCTCTCCTGAGACTTCCACGGCTGCCAGCGTTAGCCTCTTTATAACTGATACAATAGCCACCCAAGAAGTTCCCACCAGGAAGTTATCAATGTCCCAGGATATCTCCAATGCAACCAGTGATCCTACTGTCCCAGCAATGACTACTCTGGGACTTCACACTACGGCTGGTGAAACCATGGCAACCAGCTCTCTGGAGACCTCCAGTGGGACGTTGACGAGTAAACCTCCTGTCACCATGACAACTAACTCTCTGGAGACCTCCAGTGGGACCAGTGGACTCCCTGTCACCATGACAACCAGCTCTCTGGAGCCCTCCAGTGGGACCAGTGGACTCCCTGTCACCATGACAACCAGCTCTCTGGAGCCCTTCAGTGGGACCAGTGGACTCCCTGTCACCATGACAACTAGCTCTTTGGAGACCTCTGATGTGACCAGTGAACCCCCTATCACCATAGCAACTAGCTCTCTGGAGACCTCCAATGGGACCAGTGGACGCCCTGTCACCATGGCAACCAGCTCTCTGGAGACTCCCAAGGAGACCAGTGGCTCGCCCAGCTTTGGGGTAAATATACTCATGACTACCCCAGGGATCTCCACAAACAAAGGCAGTGGGCCTTCCCAAAGTTCAGATCAGAAGACAGGTAACACCCTGGTGGTGGCTGTGCTCGTGGCCCTGCTGGCGGTCATCCTCCTCCTGGCACTCATCCTGCTGTGGCGCCGGCGGCAGAAGCGGAGGACGGGGGCTCTGACGCTAAACAGAGGTGGGAAGCACAACGGGGTGGCAGATGCCTGGGCTGGGCCAGCCCGAGTGTCTGACGAAGAGGCTATGATAACAGCAGTAGGAGTGCCTGGTGGTGACAAGGGCTCCGGGGCCCCAGAAGGCGAGGGTTCTGGCCGTCGGCCCACACTCACCACTTTCTTTGGTAGACGGAAGTCTCGCCAGGGCTCCTTGGCACTGGAGGAGCTAAAGGTGGAGTCAGCCGCCAGCCTGAAGGGGGAGGAAGAGCCACTGGTGGGCAGTGAGGATGAGGCTGTGGAGGCCCCCGCTTCTGACGGGCCGGTAGCGGGAGATGTGGAGGTCCCTTAGTGCTTGTGAATAACAAGTCTGGAGGTCAGAATCATTCCTAGCTTTCGGCACCCTCCTATCATCGCTTCCCACCTCATCAGCACCCAGCATTCGCACCCAGCATCTTCACTCTGAATCCTCATCTAGCTTCTTAACCCTGGACTTTCCAGCTCCGCACCCAACACCAGCACCTCCACCCAGCGCCCCAACCCCGCAGGAGGCCAGGGCCTGCACCCACTGAAGGCTCAGAGACTGAATGAATGAAACTTCCTCACCAGCCCTACTTCTCTCCATCACCTGTCCTCCACGTTTTGTCTTTGAAACCAGATGCTGAGTCTCTCTGATGCCAATTTCCTTGACCTATGATTGCTTAGAGGGTTCCCCAGGGACACCAGAGTCTGGGAAGAAGGAAATGACAAGCCAGCAACTTCCGTCTAGGATTACTCTGTAAAGCACATTTGGCCCGTAGATTAGGACAGCCACTGGGTTGACCCACGAAACTCCTTTAACTCGTGCTCTGCAGGGCCAGCCTGGAGCGGTGCCATCTGGCTGTGCTCTCAGGTGTGCCTGGTGCACACCTGGCCTCGAGGCTGGCCCCTGGCTCAAGCCACCACTCCCTCCCTCACTATGGACCGAGGCAGCCAAAGGCTTCAGCTATCCCTCCTCTGGCGGCAGAGGTGAGAAGAGCTTCTGGGCGGGTGGAATCCTCGGAAGCCCCAGCGCCCGGGTGGTCCACTCGTGGGTGTGGTTCGTGTGCAGGAGGCAAGGATGCGGTGGTTGTGGAGGGCAGTGGTGCGTACAGAGGGCGTGAGGGAGGGGCAGGAAGGGTTCCGGGACTGAGGACATGCCAGCTGCTGAGAACATCTGCACCCTCCTCTCTGCTCAGATGGGGTGGCGGTAGGAAAGGGCCAGGGAGAGAATGCTGGGCTTGATGGGAAGACGGCCCGTGTGGCCCCAGCCCGGGTCTTCAGCCCAGCTGCTCGGGCCCCCTCACAGCTGTTAGGTGGGAGAGAGCCCAGGTTCGGATGCATGCAGGCATGTAATGAGATAATGGACTTCCCCTGGAATTTCTCACAGATCAAGGTGCCAGACACAGATACAGGCTTCTTCTCCCTTAATCCACATACCCCCGCCCATTCCCTGCAGCGGAGAATGCCTCAGCTCATGTCCCCGCCCCTCACCCACCCGCAGTATAAAAAAAGCGCCCCCCTCCCTGTTGGCGTGAATCCACGTGCCCTGTCCTGGGGGTACGTGGGTCTCCCGGGGGCGCAGAATAAACCTTTTCCTTTCCTTTCTTTTCTGATTCACTGGACTCTATTTCTTGCGCCGCCTCCTGAGCCACCTAACCTAACAACAGCCTCCCCTGCATGGGAGCTAGGGGAGAGGAGCCCTGGGAGCGGGTCTTGGTGACGCTCTGCTGTTACACGTGTAATGTGTTTGTCTGTTGCAAGCTCCTGCCCTTCTCCAATGCGAGTCCGTGAGAGCCAGCTAAAGAGGATGTGCGAGGGCTGGCAGCACCAGGGGCTTCCCCTGTGGCTCTGGGATAGGCAGGACGCAACTGGCTGTCCCTGAGACCAGCCCAGGCCAGCGCCCAGGGAGCCGCATGGGCCCGAGGCGGTTGGTATTTCCCCAGGGCAAAGAGGAAATTTGCAAAGAGGAAGTTGTTGAGTCACTGGGGGCAGTGGCTGAGAGCAGACAGATTGACCTACAAAACGAGGGCGGAGTAACGGGGGTCACCAGGGGACAGATGGGGAAAGGGCCCTGGCGGTCAGGTCATGAGGTGGGGGAGAGGGGGGCACAGAGGGGCAGGGTCGGAAATCGGCCGCCATGCAGACTGCACCCACGAGGCTGTGTCTGGCACCTTTTCCCACTTCTCACAAGCGCCGTTTGGACTGGTGAGCAGAAGTGAGTCCCAAAGTCCCGTAGGGATTCCGCAGCTGTTGTCTTCGGTTTATCAAACCAAGTCCCCGATTTCAGAAAATCTTGTCCCTGAACTCAGAGGCCAGCCCCTCCACCGGCTCACGCAGCACGGCCGACCGGCTTCCTCGCTCCCCAGCTCCAAGGGGCCTCCTTTACCTCTGCAGCTCGTTTCCGAAGCCCATTGCTCCCGGGAATTACTTTTCCTACCTCTGTGACTTACCCAGTGAGTGTTCTCTGACAGTTTGGGTCTGGATTCTGAATTCTTTCCCAGCCACAACCCAAGTACCAAGGCGGCTGAAACCCAGGTTTGGTCTGAACCCCCTGGTCAGACACCTGGTGCCAGGCCGCTGCCCACCACATCTCCACCTTCACAGAAACCCACTCCTGTGAGTCCGAGTCAGAGCTCGGCCACCTTTCCTGGCTGCCTCAGAGAGCTCATGCCTAGTTTGGACATTTATGTCCACACCTTCAGCATCTTAACTTGAACTTTGGATAGTGACAGTGAAACTTTAGTATCTACCTGTCATGAGGGCCCTAGCCGGTTTGGTTCAGTGGATAGAGCATCAGCCTGCAGACTGAACAGTCCTGGGTTCGATTCCGGTCAAGAACATGTGCCTCAGTTGCAGGCTCCTCCCTGGCCCAGGCCCTGCCTGGGTGCATGAGGGAAGCAACCAATGGATGTGTTTCTCTCACATCGAAGTTTCTCTCTGTCTTTCCCTCTCTCTTCCACCCTCTCTAAAAATCAATGGAAAAATATCCTCCGGTGAGGATTAACGAAATTAATTAATTAATTAATAAAATATATATCACGAGGGACCCAGAGAAAGACAAATGCCATATGATTGTGGAACCTAATGAACAAAATAAACTGACAAACAAAATAGGGAAAAAAAACCTGTAAATGGCTTATTGTACTTTTCATAGTTGCTAAAAATGTTTTAAAAAACTATGTAATGAGCCCTGGCCGGTTTGGCTTGGTGGATGGAGCGTCGGCCTGCGGACTGAAGGGTCCCAGGTTCGATTCTGGTCAAGGGCACATGCCCAGGTTGCGGGCTCGATCCCCAGTGGAGGGCGTGCAGGAGGCAGCCAATCAATGATTCTCTCTCATCATTGGTGTTTCTATCTCTCTTCCCCTCTTCCTTCCTCTCTGAAATCAATAAAAATATAAAATAAAAAAAAATAATGTTGAATTCACAGAATCCTGGTGAGGATTCAGTGAGGTATATTTAAAAAAAAGCACACAAAAAAAACTATGTAATGATTTTGAAAATGTCTACAATATAATGTCAAGTGGGAATATATAGTAACCGTGGTTATCTATAAAGGTTTATGGGTGATTTTTATTTTGTTTATACTTTTCTATAGTTGCAAATTTTATACAATAATGCCAATCACTTTACAATGACAAAAAATATGAGCTAATGGGTGTTCCCTGGGGGTGTGGTTTGGGGAGAGCTGCGGGAGGCGAGGCTCAGAGGCCGGTGGAGCCGTGCTAAGAGGGGCTGGAGCATTCCCATGGGTCTGGAAGCCTGAGGGGTGAAACCGAAGCCGAGGCCGGCTTCACGCCTCCGTCTGAGGCCTCAGCAGGTGCTGCGTAGATCGTTGGTGTCTCATGCTTTTGGAAGGTTCCTGTCCGCTTGCCACTTCACTTTTACAGAAGACCTACATTGGTGCCTGTTTTCGTTAAATGAAAGAAATCCACAGAAGATTCTCCCTCTCACCCACTGGACAGCATGATGCTAAGCGGAATAAGCCAGTCAGAGAAAGACAAATGTCACATGATCTCACTTACGTGTGGAATCTAATGGGCAAAATAAACTGATGAGCAAAATAGGCCCAGAGGCCTGGTGCCTGGAACAGACTGACAGAGCTCAGAGGGGAGCGGGGAGGGAGGGGGTGGGGAGAGATTAACCGAAGAGCTTGTATGCACGTGTGCACAGCCATGGTCACAGAGAACAGTGTGGGGAAGGCCTGGGGTGGGGCCGGGGCTGGTGGGGGCGGGAGGGGGAGGGGGGATGGGGGACGTCTATAATATTGTCAACAATAAATTTTTAAAAATAAAAGTTTAAAGAAGGCGAAAGGAGAAAACAGTGGTCAGCGTTTGTTTTGTAGCCGGTGGTTAAAGGGGCAGCGCGCCCTGAGCCGCGAGTGTGTCAGTGCTTGTACTGTATGTTAGTGTTATTTTAGGTTTTATGTGTTATTTGCTATGGTTTGGCAGGTTAGTTTTTGGTTCTGGGAACGCCCCCCAATTTTTCCGTATAAATGAATGGTAATCGCTTTGCTGCATGAGCCCATTTCAGCTCAGGGAAAGTTCCATGGGAATGGAATGCTCTACCTGTGGACAGCCGCTGCCTCTCAGTAAAGCACAGAGCATCCCGGGCAAGCCTCGCTCCCTCCTCTGTCCTCGCTGCCGGTGCCCAGGCCCTGCGAGCCTGCCTTCTCTCCAGGCCCATCAGCCTGACCCGGTCCTGCTGAGACTGCCCTTTCGGTTTCCCGACCCCAATCCCTTCCACCCTCTGTTCCCGGCAACCCCAGTGCCACGTCTAGAAAGTCGCTCTGCCCTGGCTGGTGTGGCTCGGTAGGGTGGGCGTCATCCCGTGCACCGAAAGGTTGCCAGTTGAATTCCCGGTTAGGGCGCATGCTTGGGTTGCAGGCCCAAACCCTGATAAGGGGCCTGCGGGAGGCAGCTGATCCATGTTTTGCTCTCGCATTGATGTTTCTCTCTCCCTCTCCCTGCCTCTCTCATAAAAATCAATTTTAAAATATTAATAAATAAAAGGCTACTCTGTCCAGGTTACCCCTGCGCTCCCCAAGCCCCCCCTCCTTAGCCTGTAGATCTTAGACCCCGTCAAGATCTGGCCTTGCTTTTCCTCTGCCCGCCATTGCCTGGTCAGTCCTCTAGCTCTCCCGCCCCATCCAATTCCTTGTAGCTAGCTCTAAAACACATGCCATGTGCCTTTCTTGGGGAGGGGAGGGGAGGATAATTAAAAATGTTGACAATAGCCCAGCTGGCGTGGCTCAGTGGCTGAGCATTGACCTATGAACCAGGAGGTCACGGGCTCAATCCCCAGTGGGGGGTGTGCAGGGGGCAGCCAATCAATGATTCTCTCTCATCATTGATGTTTCTCTCTCTCTCCTTTCCTCTCTGAAATCAATGTTTACAAATGTTGAATATACGTATTTTTTAATTTCAGAGGCTGTTCATTAAAGCTGGGAACAGTGAACAAGAAAGAGCTGAAGAAATGAGCCTGGGCTGGCCTGTTTCGGCTCAGTAAGACGCCAGAGGAGGGGCCTTGGGAATAGGCTCAGGGGGCTGGCCTGTTTCGGCTCAGTAAGACGCCAGAGGAAGGGCCTTGGGAACAGGCTCAGGGGGTTGGCCCGGATGAGCTGCCGCGGCCATTGCTGCCCTGGCTGCAAGCCGAGCGGGTCCCTTAGAGGTTAGGAGATGCAGGTCTGTGGGGAAGAAGGTGGGAGGCAAGGGCGCGCTCCTGGGAGGGAGGGCAGGGAGGGGGAGAGAGCCAAAAATATGTCTTTTTAAAATATACAATATCGCCGAAACCGGTTTGGCTCAGTGGATAGAGCGTCGGCCTGTGGACTCAAAGGTCCCAGGTTCGATTCCAGTCAAGGGCATGTACCTGGGTTGCGGGCATATCCCCAGTAGGAGATGTGCAGGAGGCAGCTGATCGATGTTTCTCTCTCATCGATGTTTCTAACTCTCTATCTCTCTCCCTTCCTCTCTGTAAAAAATCAATAAAAATATATTTAAAAAAAAATATATATGCAATATCCTTTATTACACATTCTGTGTAACTAATTCGTTCTAACAGAATGATTCTGTCGATTTTTAAAATATATATTTTTTTGTTGATTTCAAGAGAGGAAGGGAGAGAGAGATTGAAACATCCATCATTGATCGGCTGCTTCTTGCACGCCCCACACTGAGGATCGAGCCCACAATCTGGGCATATGCTCTGGCCGGGCAGTTGAAAATATCTTTGTCCAGACAGTAAAATAACATTTTTCCTCTCTTGCAAAAGTTAATTACCAGCACATTCTAGTTCTTAAGTAATAGGGTTCACACAGACACAACCATATACAGTGTATTATTCTTCATCTTACATTTAAAAATACGTTTCTATTTTAGTGTTAAAAATGCACATTACTAGTAAGACCATAGTTACAAATAAAGCTTTGTCATCCAAAATGAAACTTCCAGATGGAAGAGGGTCTGGGTGGGGAAGGCCTTGAGAAATGTATTAAACACAGGAAAGGGGCCTCAATGCACGGTTTTAAGGACATTTTCTCTCTGAAATGGACATTTACGCCCAGTTTCCCTCTGCGTCCCCATTTCTGACCCTTGGCCTTGGCAGGCAGACCTGCGGAGGATGGGCACCGGGGGCTTCAGGCAGAAGCGACCCTGCCCATCTGGCCTCTCCAGCGCTTTCAGACCCGAAGGGGGGATGGAGCAGCCTGCACAGTGGGGACTGTCCTGCTCAGGACCGGCTTGCGGTCGAGACGGTAGACAACAGAACCCGAGGTCTTTTGGAGACAATCGACCCGCCTGCTCAGCTGGCGGCAGCAGGACAGCCCGGCTGGACCATGGCTCACCTGTGCACGCTCTGCCTGAGCCAGCCCTCCCCCAGGTGCCCCACAACACACACACTCTTTTATAATTAATTAAATTTCTTTTGAGAGTGAGAGAGAGAGGAATGGAAAGGGAGAGAGAAAACACACCACACTTCTTGACTTCCCGCCAAACTCCTCAACCGTCAAGATTCAGCTCAAATGTCACTGCTTTTTTTTTTTTTTTTTAAATGTCACCCTTGCTGCCTCCACCCCAAACAGACAATGTTTCTCGTCCACTCTTACAGCAGCTGGTGGCAGCACAAACCAGGGGCTGCAATTATGTGAAGGGGTCCTCACTCATGGCAGTGTAGCCCCTCCAAGTCCAATGTCATCTTTGCGGCTCCGGAGTCCAGGGCCTGTCACGTAGTAACTACCTGGTATGTGTTTACCGAATGGAGGGATAAATGAAATAACAAAGGAACCAATGATGGGTGTTGTGGGGTTGTGTTTTTGAAACACTGCTTTTATTTTATTTATTTATTTTGTTGTTGTTAATCCTCACCCAAGGATATTTTCCCATTGATATTTTAGAAAGAGTGGGAGGGAGGGGAGAGACGGAGAGAGGGAAGCATCGATGTGAGGGAGACACTTTGCTTGGTTGCCTCTGCACATGCCTGGTCCAGGGCTGGGAATCCAGCCTGCAATTGAGGTATGTGCCCTTGACCAGAATTGAACCCTCTATCCACTGAGCCAAACCAGCCAGGGCCAAATGATGGTTTTTACGTAAACACGTGGCAAGATCAGATCTGTCTTTTGAGTGAACCTGGCATCCAGAGATGGCCTGAAGGCAGTGTGGCCCCAAGATGAGCACATTATTCTAGTCCAGGTTAATACAGTGCGAGCGTGGCCCCAGGGGAAAGCAGAGTTCAGATCAGAAATGGATTTATTCAGAGAATGCAGTTTAGGGCGAATTGGCTGTTGAGGTGATGGGGGAAGAATGAGGTTAGACTTCAAGGTTTCTGTCTCGGGAGATTCAGATGCTGACATCATCGTGTGGGAATGCAGGGAGGTGAGCATTTTGGGGGAAAACATATTGAGTTCATTTTTAGAAGTGGTAGGAGCGGGATGTTTAGAGATGGTTAGAAGTAGAGACCTGGATCTTGGAAGGAGGTCAGAGTGAGAGGTATGGGTCTAAGAGTCATCTGATTTTATTCATTTTTATTTTTTAATATATATTTTATTGATTTTTTACAGAGAGGAAGGGAGAGGGATAGAGAGTCAGAAACATCGATGAGAGAGAAACATCGATCAGCTGCCTCCTGCACACCTCCCACTGGGGATATGCCTGCAACCCAGGTACATGCCCTTGACCGGAATCGAACCTGGGACCCTTCAGTCCGCAGGTGGACGCTCCATCCACTGAGCCACACCGGTCAGGGCGAGTCATCTGATTTTAGATAGCAATTTGAACAACGGTATCGATGAATAAATGCATCAACTCTAGCGTTTACCGTGCACAGCGAGAAAAGGAGACAGTCTCAGAGTGTCAGCCAGGGCAAGCTGGCGCTGTGACTGCCAATCCCCACACTCAGTTTTGTCCTCGCTTACGTGGCAGTTCAGCACTAGCGCACGGAGGGCGACCTCCCATGGGGCCATTCAGGGCCCGGCTCCCTCCGTATTGTGGCTCCATCATTCCTGGCGAGGAGAGCGGGAGGCCATGGGGAGGCGTTCGCTTTTTCTCACCCTCCTTGGGACAGGGGTCAGGCTGTGGTGGCCTCAGTGTAACCGAGGCTGAGAAATGCAGCTTCGCCGTGTGCCCAGGAGGAAAGGCGAAACTCCCGCCGCACTGAGGGAACACCACAATTTGAGGGTTGGGTGTAGGAAGAAGGACCCGCAAGGGACAGCACAGAGCCCAGCCAGGTGTGGCTCAGCGGCTGAACATCGACCCAGGAAGCAAGAGGTCACCGGTTCGATTCCCGGTCAGGGTACCCGGGTTGCGGGCTCCATCCCCAGTGTGGGGCCTGCAGGAGGCAGCCAATCAATGATACTCTCATACCATTGATGTTTCTATCTCTCTCTTCCTCTCCCTTCCTCTCTGAAATCAATAAAAATGTATTAAAAAAAATAAATTAAAAAAAAAAGAGCGACAGCACAGAGCCTTTAGGGGAGAAACCGGGAGAAAATGACATCGGGGGGAACATAGTTTGGAGAAGGTGACAGGAGCAGACCTGGCGCGAGTGAGGCAAGCAAGGGGCTGCGTACAAAATGGAACCTGGGGTGAGGCCTCCTTCGGTTTTGCGCCCCAGAACTCCAGCTTGTCTCCTGGACCCCAATCCTGGGAGGGTCTTGTCTGCAGAGGAAGGGAGGGAGAGGCTGGGAAGGTGCCAGTGAGTTGGCATCAGGGCTCCCGGCGACCGGAGCCCGCAGTTCCGAGGAAGAAATGGAGGTGGCCATTCTTGGACGGGAACAGGCCTGGAGTCGCAGTACCGGTCACGGCAGTGCCCCCTTCCCGCCCTCAGAGGCCGGGTTCTGATCTGTGCGCGACCTTAAAGGACCCCGGGAAGAGGGACGGGAAGGGAAATGGACATTTGTCCAGCGTTTACTCTGTGTCGCTGGCAGTTTCCTCACTTGATTCTCAGGTGAACCCAGCAGGTAAGTGTTACCCCATTTTACAGCAGAGCAAACTGAGGTGTAGAAAGAGGTAGAAAGGCTCTTGAGATAAAAAAGGATGGAACTGAGGTTTGAACCCACTGAGCCCGGCTCTCCTAGGCCAGCGGTCGGCAAACCGCGGCTCGCGAGCCACATGCGGCTCTTTGGCCCCTTGAGTGTGGCTCTTCCACAAAATACCACAAAATACCACATGTGGGCGCGCACGTACAGTGCGATTGAAACTTCGTGGCCCATGCGCAGAAGTCGGTTTTCGGCCTGGGCGAGTCTATTTTGAAGAAGTGGCGTTAGAAGAAGTGGGGGGTGCCAGTCGGTCGGTGGGGGTGGCGCGCGTGATTCATGCAGGAGGTGAGTGAGCCAGCCAGTCAGCAGTCTCATGTGCAGTGGTTAGTGCTAGTCGCGTCCGCAAATCGCGTGCGGGTGACAAAAGTACCTACTCGAAGCATAAAGTTACCTGTATTTTTCCAACCAGCTGCAAATCCTACAGGTATTTTTGTCATCAATTTAAGAATTGTAATTCTTTTGTGCTGGTGGCTTTATTATTATAAAATGAAACATGTTTTAGGTGCCCTGTTTGAGATGGCTACAAAGAAGAAGCAAAGAAACACGGAAGACGAAAACTGTGAATTTAAAGTTGAATGTACCTACCTATATAGTTTAAGTTTAAAAAATTGGGCTCTCAAAAGAAATTTCAGTCGTTGTACTGTTGATATTTGGCTCTGTTGACTAATGAGTTTGCCGACCACTGTGACCTAGGGCACCATCTAAGGGGCTGGCCGGCCCTCACGGGGAGGGGTGGGGAGCGCATTCTTGCATCCTCGGCCTCTCACCCTGGGGCGCTGGGCGTGTGGAGAGAACAGGCCTTTGGCTCAGAGGGAGGACTTCTGAGTTGCGCAAAGGAGAGCTCCCCTCGGAGCCTGGAAAGCAGACGAGATACCACACCGCCAGGGATCCTGACGCCGGGAACAGGGACAAGAGGGAGCCCCAGGGAACCGGGAAGGGCTGATTGGGGCCCTCCTCCCCCTCCCCGGGCAGCCCCACCCCCCGCCCCAGAGCTCTCTGAACTTTGGATCTGAGCAGCTGAGCCAGCTCCAAGCCGTCATGGATCCCGAAGGTAAAGGAGCCCCCAGACCTCTCTCCCCTGCGCCCCTGCGCCCCCGTCCCCCCACCCTGCCCCGCTCCCCCTCCCAACTTATCTCAGCCCCTGATCGCTCCACCCCCACCAGAGACCGAGGCTCCTCTGGTCCATGGGGGTCTTCACCTCCCCAAATCCCTCCAGCCTCTCTGGGCCCCAGGCATTCCTTTCTGTCCGCCAAAGGCCCTTCTCCCACTGCTTTCTCCTCCTTGTTGGGCCTCAAGGAGCTCTGGCCAAGAAAGGGCTTCAGCCCCAGCAAAGGCGGGGTGCCCGGAGGGGCCGTCTCCTGGGGGCTCTGGGGCAGGTGGTGGGAGGCTGGATGGGGCCAGCTCTGGACTCTGCCCCTGGCTGGCAGCTGGAGAGGCCGGAGCCAAGTCCTGCCCCATCTGGTGGGGGAGGGGTTTGAGTCCAGTGATCCTCTGCGCGGGGGGAGGGGGGGAGAGGGGGTGGGGGGTGTGGGGGTGATGTCGCTAAATGCCAAATGAAGGGCGGGCCGCGGGGGTGGGGGGCAGGTTCAGGCCCCACCAGAAACTTGACCTTGGGCAAGTCACCTGGCTTCTCAGCGCCCCTTTCCTTGCACCTGTAAAACGACAATACAAGTGTGTGAGGAGGACAGATGACAGGGTGCATGGAAGGGGCCCATCTGTGAGCTCTGAGTCTCCACTGGGCTTGCTCCCCAGCTCTGACCTCCGCCCTGGTTTGCGGCTTCTGCTGGCCCCGCGCCCCGTGTGCCCAGCCCCCTTGTGGTCTGAAAGCAGCTCTTCTGGCCCCAAACAGCTCTTGGTTTACAAAGAACCTCAGAGTCAGAGCCTGGGTTCCAGTCCCATCCCTGCCACCTGCTCGCTGTGTGGCCTCGGGCAAGATGCTCAGCCTTGCTGGGCCTGCTCCTCATTGAGGAGCAGAGGCGTCCCTCATACCTGTCCCTGCAGCCCCGGCCTCCTCAGCCTCCGCTCCATTTTTGGGAGCCCTGTCTGCCCGCCTCCACCTGGACCTCCCCCTGCCATGCCAGCTCCATTTCTGCTCGTGCCTCACCCCCTCCTGCGCAGACTGGAAACCTCAGGGTCAGCTTTTACTGCTCACTGTCCTCGCACCCAATACCTGGACAGTGGCCGCAGCCTATGCATTTACCTCTCTGGCGTCACCTGCGCCCTTTCCCGTGCTGTTCCCATCCCTCTGGGCGAGAGGCCGGGGGAGGCCTCCGCTGCCTTCACACAGGTGACCACACCTGACCTGCAGCTCAGAAGGGCTGGCACTGGGGTCACTTAGCCGAGGGAATTAAGCCGGGAGGGAGCAGACAAGTCAGGGGGTGAGGCAAAGGCTGGGGAGTGGTGAGGACAGAGTTGGGGCAGAAGCAGATGGCGGGCTGGTGGGCAAAGGCGGAGAGGTCAGGCTTGGCCGAGGTGCGAGCGGGCGGCCCAGCCCCAAGTCCGTGGACTGGGTGCAGGCAGTGGGCCCTTTTGCTCACAGCTCAGGAGGGATGCCCTCCTCACACCTCACCTGGCTCCCTGCCTCTTGCCCAGCAGTTCAGCAGCCTCCCGCTTACACCTGTGAGGAGCCAGAGGCACCATTCAGATAGTTAAACTTCAAAGAGCATTTTTGATGCTGTGACTTCTGATGAAAAGTTTTAGTGCTTTCCCATGGCCTGTTGAGCAGAACCCTAACTCTTTCCTGGCACTCAAGGCCTGCTCGGTCTGGCCCCAGCCGACCCCTCGGCCCTCTCTCTTGCTGCCCTCCAACTGCTCTGAGATCCTGTGGATTATTGCACCGTTCGTATGCTGGGTGATCACACTGGGCCCCACGTGGAGGTTGTTGCTCTTCGCTAGAGAGAAAGGGGGAAGAAAAGAGCATTGATAGCTAGAAGCTGCAGTGCAAACCAGCTTCTGTCTCCACCTGGTGTTTGCCAAATGGGTCATCAAAGCTGCCGGTCAGACACCTGGCACTGGATGTCATCGCCATGTTCCCTCCTCTTTGCAGCTCTGTGATTTCCTCGTGAAACTGACTCCGAGAGGTTAGCAAACCGCCTGGCGTTGCCCCGCGTGTGGGTGGTGGAGCAGGTTCAAACCCAGGCGCTTCTGACTCCCAGTCCAGGCTGTTGCTCCAGCACCAGGGACAGGGCCCCGGAGCCCTGATTGCGGCTTCCGGAACTCTGAATATTGATATTATAAACATATGCTGAATTAAAATATGACTTAGTGCTAGATTAAATGGCAGTGTGGTGAGTGAAAGGTTCAAGTTGGCGGTGCGTGGGCAGGCTAAATAGCCGTCTCAGATGGTGAATAGAGAAAAACTGAATGTATTTAAGGAAAAGGGATGGGGAATGGAGATAGGGCTGCACAGCACTGAGCCAAAGGGTGTTGGGTCGAGGGTGGCAGCAAAAACACGCTTAGGGCAGTGACACAAGGACGGGCTTAGAGGAGGCAGCAGGAGAGCCCGGCGGGGCTGCTTTGGTCACTGGCGGGGGGGGGGGGGGGGGCAGAGAGAAGGGGGCTTGGAGACAGGGTCAGGGGTGAGCCTGGGACGAGTTGACGGCCCACTGCTCCCCTGGTTGCAAGCCTCATGGGGTCCCTGAGAGGTTGGGGGGTCCATGCCTGTGGGGGAATGGCATGGCCCGTTTCTTGCAGGCTGCTTTGTCCTAGCATATTTATTGCACTCTTGCAGGTGGAAATCTTGGGAAGGTCCAGGGGAGGATCTGAATAGAATTTCATCAGCTTCCCAGCTGTGCTCTTTCAGGGTCGTGGTCTCCACTGATTGGTTGGTGCCAGGGCAGAGGGTCATTAGTCAATGCAGCTGGTGCCCAGGCAGCCTGGCATCACTTGTCTGGTTTTGCTGCTTTTCTGGGGCCTGGAGCTGAAATACAACTGAGGCCTAGATGTTATCTTAGGGAGGAAAAGGTCAGGGGTCTCACCCGCCTGACCAGTGATAAGCCAGGGGAGGGCAGGTTGCCCTGGGGGCAAGGTCCTTGTTTTCCCAGTTTTGCCCCTTGCTGGGCACCCGGGTTTCCTGCCCCGGTGAGTTTCTGTCCCTGGCCCCTCATCCTTGCTCTGCTCAGGTCTGTCTAACAGTGAGGTGGGGTACGTGAGGGGACTCGAGCCCGCCTGCCTGGGCGGGTGTTCCTGAGAGCACACTTCCCAGCTATGTGAACTTTGGGCTAGTTACTTGCCCTTTCAGTGCCTCAGTTTCCTGATCTGTAAAATGGGGGTGATAGTCGTATTCCCATGGGGTTGTTGTGAGGATGAAATGTGTTCACATATATAAAATGTTTGACACAGTGCCGAGGAAGGACAGTAAAAGTGTTGGCTGTTATTACTATGCATTACGGCATTCCGTGTTTGATTAATGACAAGTGGCAGTAGGCCCCAGAGCTTAAGAAAAATTTATAAAGACAAAACCTTTAAAATTGACAACTTCTATCTACATTAATTTCTCCCTGTAAATTGGGGAAACCATCATTACCTGGTTTTAGCTGGAGGACTTGGTCAGCCTCTTGTAACACCACCGTGGCTACAAACACAGGCCACTTCGTTCCACATACAATTCGGAACCTAGACTTGTTATATTCATTTCGGTCCATTGGCACAGCCGCCCTTTCTTCCGCCCACCAGGCATGAGGGAGGGAAGATGAGGGATGGAAGCCCGATGCTGGCAAGGAGCCCCTGTCTAGTCAGGGCAACCTGGAAGCGCAGACAGGACCAGCAAGACTGCCCGCGGGGAAGGTCTCCGTATGTCGGGCCAGACCCAGTTTATCTGTATCCTTCCCTGTAAGGTGTATAGAGAGATGCAGAAATACCCTCAGAAACAGAGACACCAACTTTTTGAAAACGTCAGTTCTCTTTTAAAATTATTATTTTTAAAATTGATTTTAGAGGGAGGCAGAGAAGGGGGGGGGACATAGAGAGAGAGAGAGAAAGAGAGAGAGAGAGAGAGATAGGCTGTCAGTCCCCCAACCCCTAACCCCCAACCCCCACCCCCCGCAGGTGCCCAGACCGGGGCACACTCGGCCCCTTGATGTAGGGAGGACGCCCCAAGCATCTGAGCCGCAGGGCGGGGCCAGAGATGCCAACTTTAATAAAACGCTGGAAAAGCAATTAGGAAGGTATCGGGTTGAGAGAGCGAGGATGAAAGGGCAGGCATCTCCAGGGAACTCTCACCACCAGTGCGAGGGCAGAGAGCGGCAGGGGGGACAGCGTGCCTGTCCGGTCCCCGCCAGCTGCTGCAGCGGTGGTGGCTGCACAACTCGGTCAAGTTATAAAAGTAACTTTCCCTCACAGCTGCGCGTTCAGAGAGCCTGCATTTCAAAGGAGCCCCTTTGGTTGGAGACGCATGGAGTCAGGGCCTGAGGAGAGCCAGTGCCAGGCCTGTTTGTTTATTTCTCACATGTGCCCTGGCCCCGGCATCTGCCTCTGCCACAGGCGATCAGAAGAACTGATCTCGAAGGAAGGGGCGGGCGGTCACCCCGCGGGCGGCGGCGAAGGCAGGGCTGGTGCACTTGGTGGTTTCCCAGCTCTGCCCTTCAGTAACGGCCTCTGTGTTTCTGGGCCTCGTTCTCCACCTGTGAAGACGGGTGATCTCCACCGTGAAAAGCTGCGGGCAGGACTGTGACCGCGCAGAGCAGGCGTAGCAAGTGCGGGCAGCCAGCAGGCACCATGGGTGGCAGCTTCCCTCTGTCCTGCGGGCCGGGCCGGAGCTCCCATCTCTGCTGCGAATGAGAATGATGTCACCACATTCCAGACCCGTTACATCCGATTTTCCGGGGGTGGGGCCCAGCATCTTGCAAAGCTCCCCAGACAGTTCCATTGCGGAGCCTGGGTTTTGAACCACTGCTCTCCGCCCCCCTTGACCCTGTCTCAAATGAGGGGCCTCTCTTCTCTCTCTCTTTCCAATTTTTTAAAATTATAATGTCAAACATTCACACAGACAGAAAAATCTGATGAACCCTCATGTACCCATCATCCAGCCTCAGCAACCATCAGCTGTGGCCA